TGGGTTCAAATAAAAGTCAGATTAAAGTGTGCCGGAGCCTCAGACAGAGCGGTGCCTCCAGTTAGCGCGCGTTAGAGAGTCTGAGCCTGACGCCGGTGGTGTTTGTGTTTGTGTTTGGGCAGGTGCAGGTCGGGGTAAAGACATGGCCAACATCACGGGCCACAGGGGCAAAGACATGTCCACCATCCTCCAGGAGGGCGGCAAAGAGAACGGCAAACCCCCGCGCGCCACCGGGGGGCGGCAGAAGAAGAAGAGACGACGCCTCAACGACCTGGACTCTGACAGCACCGTGGACGAAGAAGAGAGCGAAGAGGAGTTCTGTCTCAGCGGCAGGTACGCACCTGTCGCACGCACCTGTCGCACGCACGCACATGTCGCACGCACACTGTCACACGCACATGTCGCACGCACATGTCACACACACTGTCACACTGTCACACGCACATGTCACACGCACATGTCACACACTGTCACACGCGCCTGTCACACGCACATGTCGCACGCACATGTCACACACACGTGTCACACGCACCTGTCGCACGCGCCTGTCACACGCGCCTGTCACACGCGCCTGTCACACGCGCCTGTCGCACGCGCCTGTCGCACGCACCTGCCAGCTTCATTAAACACTCAGGTCCGTTTAACGAGCCAACGTCAGGAGAGTCCAAACTATGGGGCCTGTTCACACACTACGACTCGGGTCCTGTTCACACACTACGACTCGGGGCCTGTTCACACACTACGACTCGGGGCCTGTTCACACACTACGACTCGGGGCCTGTTCACACACTACGACTCGGGGCCTGTTCACACACTACGACTCGGGGCCTGTTCACACACTACGACTCGGGGCCTGTTCACACACTACGACTCGGGGCCTGTTCACACGAGAACACGAGCTGGTAAAAAACGAAATATTTTATGGGAAGTGTTTTTCGTTTTGAGTTGAAAAACTTCAACAAGTGGAAAAAGGAAACTGTGAAGATAAAAGATCTGAAACGTCAAACGTCACTGGAAGAATCTGGTTTCCAAACTCGTTCTCCTCACACTCTTGAAGCTTCATGAGACTTTTTCATGAACTTGTTCTTGTTTCTCTTCTTCTCTTCATGTTGGTCCAGATCCTTTAGTCCTGCAGGTTTTCTTTGTTTTCCACTTGTTGACGTTTCAGTCTTGGGCGAGTTTGAGCAGCAGATTCAAGACACAAAAAAATGATTCTGAACTCAACCTGAAAACACAACAAAAATAAAACATCTTCATCTGTTTCTAAACGTTCTGTGAAAATCTGAGGTTAGAATCGCCAAAAACGAGTGGCCTGCGAAATGCATCATTATCTGGGACGACCTGGACGTGTGGACTGTCCCAGCTTCAGAAATAAATGAAATAAAAATAAAAAGCGTCTCTCGTGACCCGACACGAGTCCAGCTCCTCCTTCTGAATTTCAATTAAGAACAAAAAACAATCAAAAAACAGTTTATTTCATTTTTCTGTTTTAGTGTCAAACAAAAAAAAACTAATTACGACTTCTATTTCCAATATTTAATTTAAAGTTTATTTCAAATTACACCAATCAAAAAACAGTCTCGTTTTCTAAAATTTTACATTTGCAGTTTGATATTTTTTGAAGTTTTGCTGCTGAAGGACGAACCTGAAAAATCGTTGCAGTTTTGTCGACAAATATATTTCTTCTTTTACAGTGGCGTGTTTTATTTTCACGTTTTAGAAAGTCACTGTTGATCCACGACGACAAAACAGAAGCAGCAGAACTTCCGGCGTAAATAAAATAAAATATCAACATTAGAACAGGCTCCAGACTGGTTTTGATTGGTGTGATTTGGAATAAAGTTTAAATTAAATATTAGAAACAGAGGCCGAAATCTGTTTTTTTTTTTTTTAACACTAAAATGGAAAACTGAAATAACAAACTGTTGTTGTTTTTCGTTCTTAATTGAAATTCAAAAGAACAAATGAAAACTGTGGATAAAAAGTGAGATAAAGAAAAAGACGACTGAAATGTAGAAGTTTGCGATTCTTCAAAGGTTTAAAACATGACATGGTGTTTCTCTTTCATCCACAAGGGGGCAGTGTTGAGCTTTGAAAAATAAAGGGGAAAATGGATTAGACGAGGAAAACTTTTACAGATATTTACAGATTTGACTTGATTTTGACCAAAACATGAAAGGTGTTTGGGAAAACGGAGATTTGGGACACGACTTTTTAACATGAATAAAATGAATGTCTCAGAGTAAAATAAATGTAAATGACATAAAACAGATCAACACGGAAAAGAAGAAATACAAGAACAAGAGACGGGACATGGAAGAATTTGTCAATTACAACGGAGGACGACGTTATGTAAATCAGAGTCGAACTCATTTTGTTCCGGGGCCGGATCAGAAAACTCATGTCATATAAACCCCAAAAATAACAACAAGTTCAAATATTTGTGCAGAGAAACACAAATCTATTACACAAATCTGTTTTAATTGATGAACTCTTTCTTTTACAAAATATTATAATATTATGAACAACCTGAAACTTTAAGAAAAATACAATTTCAACACAAAGTTTGAACATGAACTTGTCTGTAAACAGAATAAGTCCATTTTTGTTGTAAAATCCTGCACTCGGCTCCACTTTTCTCATGTTGGACATTTTTCTGATGAGGGTGTCACGGTCAACAGTCAAAACCATCGTCCTTTAAGAGCGTTTGGAAAGAGACAAGTCTTCATTTGTGCTGCTCTGGTGGGAGGGGCCACGTACAGAGACGCTGGAGACGCTGCTGTGATAAACACCACACAAAATAACACAATTTTAATAGAAAATATCATTCAAATTAGGGCTGGGCGATATAGATCAAAAAATATATATCGATATATTTTGCTATATTTCGATATACGATATATATCTGGATATATGTTCAAGAAAAAATAACCCCCTAAAACTGAAAACTGCAAAAACAAATCTGCCAAATTCCACAAGGTCTTTTTTTTTTATTAAAGTGTAAGAGGTCGACAGTTCATACAGGAACATTTAAGATTACAAAAACCCTAATTACATAAATAATAATTTAACTGTAAAATAAAATAAATAATACATATTTTCTTCTTTTCATTCATAAATAAAATGACTCAACATAAGCTCATCTTTGCCTTAACTCTGTTCTCCAGACCAGAACCATGAACTGTTTTAACAGAGGAAGTTCAGGATGTTCCTTATTTGAACAGATCCATGTTCCAGCGTCAGGATCTGAGGTTTAATCCCACAATCCACTGCATCAAACCCAACGATTCAAACACTGTTGTACAAGTGACACTGCAGCAGATTATTCATTTAAATATTCTGCATAAATAAACTTTACAATATATAAAGCACAACGACTCTAGAGCCTCATCAGCCCGTTGGAGATAATCATGTGTTTAATGCAGTTTTGCGCACGTGTGTTTACGTTTTACAGAAACTGAACTTAAGCACATGGCTCATTTGCATAAACAGCACTTCTCATGCAGCTCAGCTCGTTCAGCTTCTTTCAGACTAAAGGACGCGACTCGGTGGAACATGAGGATGTTCTGCTGATGTTCTTGTCTGTAAATGGTGGAAAAGGTTCGTGGAGCTTGAAGCTTTTCACTGGCACCAACTTTCGGTGTTCAGGGCGACAGTGACGAGTGAACAAACTCAGGGAGGCGGCGGCGACGAGAGAGAAGGTAAACAAGCGAAGCGGAAAAATCAAAATTAAATATAAACATATGGATATATACGATATGTCAGAATTCATATCGAGTTTAAAAAATATCTCGATATCTTTAAAATATCGATATATCGCCCACTCCTAATTCAAATATTTGAGTAGAAAATCAGTCGAGGGCCACATTAAAGGTGTTGGAGGGCCGGATCCAGTCCATGGGCCGGATGTTTGACACCCCTGGTTTAAGACACCACAGCGGACAGACGCACACTGGACCTCAGACTTACACTTGTAGGGAGTATTATCTGTGACATAAGAGCACGTTGTACAGTTGTAGGGAGTATTATCTGTGACATAAGAGCACGTTGTACAGTTGTAGGGAGTATTATCTGTGACATAAGAGCACGTTGTACAGTTGTAGGGAGTATTATCTGTGACATAAGAGCACGTTGTACAGTTGTAGGGAGTATTATCTGTGACATAAGAGCACGTTGTACAGTTGTAGGGAGTATTATCTGTGATATAAGAGCACGTTGTACAGTTGTAGGGAGTATTATCTGTGACATAAGAGCACGTTGTACAGTTGTAGGGAGTATTATCTGTGACATAAGAGCACGTTGTACAGTTGTAGGGAGTATCTTGACATAAGAGCACGTTGTCAGTTGTAGGAGTATTATTGTGACATAAGAGCACGTTGTACAGTTGTAGGGAGTATTATCTGTGACATAAGAGCACGTTGTACAGTTGTAGGGAGTATTATCTGTGACATAAGAGCACGTTGTACAGTTGTAGGGAGTATTATCTGTGACATAAGAGCACGTTGTACAGTTGTAGGGAGTATTATCTGTGACATAAGAGCACGTTGTACAGTTGTAGGGAGTATTATCTGTGACATAAGAGCACGTTGTACAGTTGTAGGGAGTATTATCTGTGACATAAGAGCACGTTGTACAGTTGTAGGGAGTATTATCTGTGACATAAGAGCACGTTGTACAGTTGTAGGGAGTATTATCAGCACCACTTTAGTTTTGTTTTGTATAATTGAAAAACTCAGCTCAAATAGAGATGAAAATATAAACACAGACTAAAGGTGATTGAAAAAAACGGACGATGATGATGATGATGATGATGATGATGATGATGATGATGATGATGATGATGAGGAGGAGGAGGAGGAGGAGGAGGAGGAGGAGGAGGCAGAGTCGATCACTCACACGTCGGTTTGTGTCCTTCAGCACGTCGGAGGAGTTTGTGGCGTCGGATAACTCCGGGGAGAGCGACGCCGCGTCCAACGACAGCGACAACGAGAGCGGCGGCGGCGGCGGCAGCAGAAGGCGGAGAGTGCACCCCAAACAGCCAATCAGGAAGAGCCAGCGCAGGAGGCGGAGACCCAAAGGTTACTCCGACGACGAAGAGGACGAGACGGACGAGGACGACGAAGAGGAGATGGGTACGTTTGAGTTTGAGTTTGAGTGTGGAAAGGGTCAGAGTGAACGAGGACGCGCCGCCGGCTCCACCCACTCTGGCTCCACCCACTCTGGCTCCACCCACTCTGGCTCCAGTGTGGTCCATGTCTATAAGTGCACTTTGTGTGTAAAAGTGAGGTCCGTGTGTCAAGTTTGTGTGTAAAAGTGCGGTGTGTGTGTAAAGTGTGTGTGTGTGTGTGTGTGTGTAAAGTGTGTGTGTGTGTGTGTGTGATCCTCACTGTGAACCCGCTGCAGATTCAAACCATCACACTTTCACTGTTTTCATGATCGTGTGTGTGCGTCTTGTGTGCGTCTGGTGTGCGTCTTGTGTGTGTCACGTGTGTATCTCACATGTGTGTCTCGTCGTGTGTGTCTGGTGTGCGTCTGGTGTGTGTCTGGTGTGTGTCTGGTGTGCGTCTGGTGTGCGTCTGTGTCTTGTGTGTGTCACGTGTGTATCTCACATGTGTCTCTGGTGTGTGTCTGGTGTGCGTCTGGTGTGCGTCTGGTGTGCGTCTTGTGTGTGTCACGTGTGTATCTCACATGTGTCTCTGGTGTGTGTCACGTGTGTGCGTCTGGTGTGCGTCTGGCGTGTGTCACGTGTGTATCTCACATGTGTCTCTGGTGTGTGTCTGGTGCAGCGACGGAGGGCTCGAGCGAGTACTCGAGTAGTGATCTGGACGTGAGTATGCGCCGCTCTCGTCGGAGCCGTAAACGAGCCGTAAACTACCACGAGACGTCAGAGTCCGACGGCTCCCAGACCGAGAACAACCGAGACAAAACCAAACCTCGACGCCGCCTGGACGACACCTCCGACTCCAGCGGTCAGTCCCGCGCCGGACCTCACACCGGACCTCACACCGACACCGGACCTCACACCGACACCGGACCTCACACTCACACCGGACCTCACACTGACACCGGACCTCACACCGACACCGGACCTCACACTCACACCGGACCTCACACTCACACCGGACCTCACACTGACACCGGACCTCACACTCACACCGGACCTCACACTGACACCGGACCTCACACTCACACCGGACCTCACACTGACACCGGACCTCACACTGACACCGGACCTCACACTCAGACCGGACCTCACGCTGACACCGGACCTCACACTCACACCGGACCTCACACTGACACCGGACACTCACACTCACCTGACACCGGACACTCACACCGACCTCACACTCAGACCGGACTCACACACGGACCTCGCGCTGACACCGGACCTCCGCACACCGGACCTCACACTCAGATCGGACCTCACACTGACACCGGACCTCACACTGACACCGGACCTCACACTGACACCGGACCTCACACTGACACCGGACCTCACACTCAGACCGGACCTCACACTGACACCGGACCTCACACTGACACCGGACCTCACACTGACACCGGACCTCACACTCACACCGGACCTCACACTCACCGGACCTCACACTGACACCGGACCTCACACTGACACCGGACCTCACACTCACACCGGACCTCACACTCACACCGGACCTCACACTTACAGTTGCAGGGAGTATTATCTGTCACATAAGGGTGAGTTGTTGTACAGTTGTAGGGAGTATTATCTGTGACATAAGGGTGAGTTGTTGTACAGTTGTAGGGAGTATTATCTGTCACATAAGGGTGAGTTGTTGTACAGTTGTAGGGAGTATTATCTACTAACTGTTGTGTTGTTGTTTTTAGCGAGTTTTTCGCGCGGTTCTTCGGACGAGGCCCCTGAGCGGCGGCTGAAGCGCGGCTGGTCTGACGACGTTCACCGACAGAAGCATCGGCGCGCGGCTCTGAAACGGCGCCGAGCCTCAGAGGACGACGAGTCTTCGGACGAGAGCGACTCTTCGGAGGAGGACCGGCCCGTCCGGAAACGCGTGAACCGCATCGACTCGGACGACTCGGAGGAAGAGGAGGAGGAACGGGAGGAACCGCAGAAGGAGGACGAGGAGGACGGCGCGCAGAACAAGGCGACCGACGAAGACCGACCCGACGAGTCCGGCCAAGAGGAGAAACCCAAGGACGCGAGCGAGGAGGGCGGGGCCAAGAAAACGAGCGAAGAGGACAAACCGCAAAAAGCGTCGGAGGACAGAACGAAGGGCGCGAGCCACGGCCCGCCTCCGACCTCGGGACAGAGCGCCGTGAAGAGCGCGGCGCCCGCCCCGCACGCGGACGCGCCCAAAGCCTCGGCCCCCAACGGCGTGGGCGCCGAGGGGACGCAGGGCGAGGACGAGGACGAGGACGACCTGTTGGGCGTCACCGACCTGGTGGACTACGTCTGCAACATCGAGGACTTGTAAAAAAGGACCTTTGTGCTGTTGTATTTTTATATGGCTTAACTTTATTCAGACGCCCGTCTCCCTGTGGACCTGCCCCGCCCCCCGACCTGCCCCGCCCCCGACCTGTCGCCCCCCGACCCCCGACCTGCCCCGACCCCCGACCTGCCCCGCCCCCCGACCCCCGACCTGTCGCCCCCCGACCCCCGACCTGTCGACCCCCGCCCCCCCCACACCGACATTGGGTTTGCATCGGAATAGTTTTATCAAAATATTCAGATAATAATAATAATAATAATAACGACTCCCTGGAAATTATGTTTGTGTAAAATTTTCTAGTCAAAACTCAAACTTTTGAAGTTTGAAGTTTGAAAACAAAAACATGTTTTTTGTTCCGGGGTCGTGGTCCTGTTGTTCCCGACACGATCATCATCATCTGTGTCGAAGATCATTTGATTTAGAATTTTAAACACCAGTGAATTTCTCACTTTGAATTTTTTGACTCTGAAAAAACATGTTTGAATTACATTTATTTATTTTCTGAATTTGAGTTGCACATTTTCAAATTCAGAACTTTTCAAAATTCACAGTTTAAAAAAATTCTCAGGAAAAATCCAAGATCCAAAAATTTTAACTATTGAATTTGAGGCTTGTAAATATTTGTGCTGAATATTTTATTTTATTTTTTTTTATTTGAAACATATTGAAAAAGTCACTTAAAATTTCAGAAACTAAAATTCTGAATAAAAATAATTTTAACATCTTGTTTCAGAGTTTAAAAATTCAATGTGAGAAATTCAGCAGGATTTGAAATTCAAAATCTGATGGAACAAATGATCTTCTTCCACACACCCAACGGAACCACCCAACAGAACCACCCAACGGAACCACCCAACGGAACCACCCAACGGAACCACCCAACGGAACCACCCAACGGAACCACCCAACAGAACCACCCAACGGAACCACCCAACAGATCGGTTCGTGCTCTGGGTCTGGTGCATTTGCACAGGTTTTATTTCATTAGAACAGTTCAGAAAACAACAATAACTAAAAAAGATTCTGTCTAATTTTGGAGAAGTTTTCACATTTAGTTAACCCGCGCCGGGCCCCCGCGCCGGGCCCCCGCGCCGGGCCCCGCGCCGGGCCCCCGCGCCGGGCCCCCGCGCCGGGCCCCCGCGCCGGGCCCCGCGCCGGGCCCCCGCGCCGGCTCAGCTCTTGTTCATGTTTGCGTCGGAACAGTTGATCAAAATATCCAGATCATAATAATCACAATAATCATGATGCTGATTCCCTGGAAATTATGTCCGTGTTAAATTTTATTGTCAAAACTAGAACTTTGGAATTTCGGGTCTGAAAAAATTTTGTGTTGCTGCGTCCCCGGGTCGTGTTCCCGGGTCGTGTTCCCGGGTCGTGTTCCCGGGTCGTGTTCCCGACTGGGGTCATGATATCAGAATTTTCAAGAAATACAGACGATAAACAATAATAATTATGAAATTAATTTATGCGACTGACATAAAACCGCTGAAGCAGTTTTTCCCTCGACTCGCCGCTCTGCCCAATCCTCCACTCGCCACGCCCCCTTGTCTCGCCCCCCCTCGCCCCCCCCGCCCGTCCCTCTCGCCACGCCCCCCGCCCGTCCCTCCTCTCGCCACGCCCCCCTCCTCTCGCCACGCCCCCCGCCCGCCCCCCGCCCCCCCCGTCCCTCCTCTCGCCACGCCGCCCCCCCGCCCGTCCCTCCTCCGCCCCGCCCCCCGCCGTCCCTCCTCTCGCCACGCCCCCCGCCCGTCCCTCCTCTCGCCACGCCCCCCGCCCGTCCCCTCTCGCCACGCCCCCCCCGCCCGCCCGCCCCCCGCCCGTCCCTCCTCTCGCCACGCCCCCGCCACGCCCCCGTCCCTCGTCACGCCACGCCCCCCGCCCGTCCCTGGCCGCGCCGCCCGTCCCTGGGCTCGCCGTAGTCTAGTATTTTGTATCTGGTCCACACGTGTCGGTGTCGCGCTCCCGGTTTGTGTAAAGACTCGTTTAATCTTCTCGTTATGTTACACTTTTTTATATATTAACATTTGTAATTTTTGTAAACTTCTTTTGTGTCGTCATGGAAATGTAAAGTGTCTTATTTTCTGTACATTGTGTAGAAGCAAACACGGCCTTTACAAACTCACATCCCGCTGTGTTTCTTTTGGATTTGGCTGTGGGAGGTCGGGAAAAGGCTCCGTGTGGCGGTGGTGGTTCCGCCGCCGCCGCGGCCGCCGCCGGAGCCTCGTGTGTGTATATCTGTAGGATTATAACCTGTAAAATATTTAGAGACATTTTTAAATCGAGGAAAAGTCGGTTCATGTTGTGACTCTGCTCCTTTTGTAAGAAAATATTCTCAGCACTGAGTTTTTTGTAAGAAGCGGCGGCTCTGTCCGAGGCACGTCCACACGCAGACTGTGTACATAAATGGACAACGCTGAACCCGCCGGCGCCAACGGGAAGCGAGCGCGGACGCACCTCCGGCTCCGTCCGCTCTGGCTCCAGTTCACTTTGTATTGAAAAACCGTGGCCAAATGAGGAGTTTGGTCTTTAAATGTTCGTATGAAGCCGCTCCGCACGATCCTGGAGGTTTTATTTCGCTGTTTTTTGTCTGTTAATAAAATCCTTTTCCCAACATGGAACTCTGCTCCAGAGTCACACGTGGAAGCGCCGGCCCAGTCTGAGTCCGAGTCTCGACGAGTCTCATTTGGAGCTGAACACTGTGGGACGTCACTCTCCTTTAGTCCGGTTCTTTGTGCGGCCTGTGGTCCACACCTGCAGAACTCAGAAGAACATGAAGCCGAGTCTCTGTAAAAGTTCGTGTTCCGTTTGTTCTTTTGAATTTCAATTAAGAACGAAAAACAATCAAATGGGAAAACAGTTTGTTTCATTTTTCTGTTTTAGTGTCAAATAAATAAAAGATTTTGGCCTCGATTTCCAATATTTAAACAGTTTTTGTGCCTGTTTCAATTTAGATTTTTGATTCTCTGGTTTATTTGAAGTTTTGCTGCTGAAGGACAAACCTGAAAAATCGTTGGTTTTGTGACAAACTCGTTTCTTCTTTTACAGTAACGCGTTTATTTTTACGTCTTAGAAAGTCACTGTTGAAGTCAAGACCAGGACTAATCGAGAATAAGACCGAGACAAGACCGAGACCACGGCCCATCGAGACCAAATCGAGACCATCTGTGTCATTTTTGACATTTGAGTTATTTTGGAGCAAACTAGATTTCTATGTTTTTATAAATCTGTCTCCGTTTTATCACTTGTCAAGTGTCAAACTCGAGACCGAGACCGAGATGAGACCAAGACTGGGGCTCGGTCTTGGAGTCGGTCTTGGAGTCGGTCTTGGAGTCGGTCTTGGAGTCGGTCTGGAGTCGGTCTTGGAGTCGGTCTGGAGTCGGTCTGGAGTCGGTCTGGAGTCGGTCTGGAGTCGGACTCCAGCACTGTTAGTCGTTGTTGATCCATGACGAGAAACAGAAGCAGAGAGAAACTCTCCTTTGTTCAGTCGACTCCACAGAACTTTAACAAAAATAGTTTTTATAATAAAAATAGTTTTTATAATATAAATAGTTTTTATTATTGATCTAAGGTCGACTGAATTCACATTATTTCAAAATTAAAACAGGAACAGACTGTTGGTGTTTTTTGAAATAAATTTAAATTAAATATTGGAAATCGAGGTCGAAATCTGTTTTTTATTTAACATTAAAGTGGAAAAATGACATAAACTGTTTTCACATTTTATTGTTTTTCGTTCTTCATTGAAATTCAAAAGAAAAAAATCTGCACACGGACCTGTGATTTGTGAAATAGTTTTTAGAAAGAGTGAAAACGCTTTTCTCCAAACGATAAACCAGAAAAACACTCCAGACGATTATCAAGAAGCAGAGACCCACCCGGAACAGCCACGTGTGACCGGGGCCGCGTGTGACCGGGGCCGCGTGTGACCGGGGCCGCGTGTGACCGGGGCCGCGTGTGACCGGGGTTTGTCCGTTACATTTTTGTTAAACTGATTTACTTCCTGAATTTGATATTGTTCAGTTCATAATAAAGCGGCTGTGAGCCTCTTCACACGTTTGTTTATTTAAACTCTCAGTCCCTGACACACACTCCTGACACACACTCCTTACACACGCTCCTGACACACACTCCTTACACACGCTCCTGACACACACTCCTGACACACGCACCTGACACACGCACCTGACACACACTCCTGACACACGCTCCTGACACACACTCCTTACACACGCTCCTGACACACGCTCCTGACACACGCTCCTGACACACGCACCTGACACACGCTCCTGACACACACTCCTTACGCACACCTGACACACACTCCTGACACACGCTCCTTACACACCCTCCCTGACACACGCACCTGACACACGCTCCTGACACACACTCCTGACACACGCTCCTGACACACGCTCCTTACACACACGCTCCTGACACACACTCCTCACACACGTTCCTGACACACACCTGACACACACACCTGACACACACTCCTGACACACGCTCCTGACACACCTCCTGACACACGCACCTGACACACGCTCCTGACACACACTCCTTACACACGCACCTGACACACCCTCCTGACACACGCTCCTGACACACGCACCTGACACACGCACCTGACACACACGCTCCTACACACGCACCTGACACACCTCCTGACTCCTGACACACGCTCCTGACACACACTCCTTACACACGCTCCTGACACACGCTCCTGACACACTCCTCACACACTCCTTACACACACCTGACACACACTCCTGACACACGCTCCTTACACACGTTCCTGACACACGCTCCTGACACACGCTCCTGACACACGTTCCTGACACACGTTCCTGACACACTCCTGACACACACTCCTCACACACGTTCCTGACACACACCTGACACACACACCTGACACACACTCCTGACACACGCTCCTTACACACGTTCCTGACACGTTTCTGACACACGCTCCTGACACACACTCCTCACACACGTTCCTGACACACACCTGACACACACTCCTGACACACACCTGACACACACTCCTGACACACCCTCCTGACACACGCACCTGACACACACTCCTGACACACACCTGACACACACTCCTGACACACACTCATTACACACGCTCCTTACACACACACCTGACACGCTCCTTACACACACCTGACACACACCTGACACACACTCCTTACACACGCTCCTGACACACACCTGACACACACTCCTTACACACGTTCCTGACACACACCTGACACACACCTGACACATACTCCTTACACACGTTCCTGACACACACCTGACACGCACTCCTTACACACGCTCCTGACACACACTCCTTACACACGTTCCTGACACACTCCTTACACACACTCCTTACACACGCTCCTGACACACACACCTGACACACGCTCCTGACACACACCTGACACACACTCCTTACACACGTTCCTGACACACACCTGAGACACACTCCTGACACACACTCCTTACACACACCTGACACACGTTTCTGACACACGTTTCTGACACACGCTCCTGACACACTCCTGACACACACCTGACACACGCTCCTTACACACACACCTGACACGCTCCTTACACACACCTGACACACACTCCTGACACACACTCCTTACACACGTTCCTGACACACTCCTGACATACACTCCTTACACACACTCCTTACACACGTTCCTGACACACACTCCTGACACACTCCTTACACACGTTCCTGACACACACTCCTGACACACGTTCCTGACACACGCGTGTGTGTACGTGTGTGTGTGTGTGTGTGTGTGTGTGTGTGTACATGTGTGTGTGTGTGTGTGTGTGTACATGTGTGTGTGTGTGTGTGTGTGTGTACATGTGTGTGTGTGTGTGTGTGTGTATGTGTGTGTGTGTGTGTACATGTGTGTGTGTGTACATGTGTGTGTGTGTATGTGTGTGTGTGTGTGTGTGTGTGTGTGTGTGTATGTGTGTGTGTGTGTACATGTGTGTGTGTATGTGTGTGTGTGTACATGTGTGTGTGTGTGTATGTGTGTGTGTGTGTGTGTGTGTGTACATGTGTGTGTGTGTACATGTGTGTGTGTGTACATGTGTGTGTGTGTGTGTGTGTGTGTGTGTGTGTACATGTGTGTGTGTGTGTGTGTGTGTGTGTGTGTGTGTACATGTGTGTGTGTGTGTGTGTGTGTGTGTGTGTGTGTACAGTGTGTGTGTGTGTATGTGTGTGTGTGTGTACATGTGTGTGTGTGTGTGTGTGTGTGTGTGTGTACATGTGTGTGTGTGTGTACATGTGTGTGTGTGTGTGTGTGTGTGTGTACATGTGTGTGTGTGTGTGTGTGTGTGTGTGTGTGTGTGTGTGTGTGTGTGTGTGTACATGTGTGTGTGTGTACATGTGTGTGTGTATGTGTGTGTGTGTGTGTGTACATGTGTGTGTGTATGTGTGTGTGTACATGTGTGTGTGTGTACATGTGTGTGTGTATGTGTGTGTGTGTGTGTGTGTGTGTGTACATGTGTGTGTGTGTGTGTGTGTACATGTGTGTGTGTGTACATGTGTGTGTGTGTGTGTGTGTGTGTGTGTACATGTGTGTGTGTGTGTGTGTGTGTGTGTACATGTGTGTGTGTGTACATGTGTGTGTGTACACAGACTCTGGTTTTGGTGAATCATCCAAAATTCCAAATCAAAGTGAGTTTGTCTCCAGTTTGTTTCCAGGTTCAGGGTGTTGAGCTCTGAGTGGAGCCGCTGCTCCAAAACGTCCAAATAAACGTTTCCTCTTTCATAAAAATGTGTCTGTTAGAATAATTATATATGTTTTCCCATATTTTCTATGTTTTGTTTTTGTGTGAATAATGTTTTGTGCTTAATAACTCTGCAGTGACCTGTCCCCACTCTGCAGTGACCTGTCCCCACTCTGCAGTGACCTGTCCCCACTCTGCAGTGACCTGTCCCCACTCTGCAGTGACCTGTCCCCACTCTGCACACGCCAGAACAACGACTTATTCAGCTCTTTGCTGGGAAAGAGAACAGTTCTCAAGGTTGGAGGAAAGAAGGAGAAGCACTGTTCCTAAAGATGCTACAAAGATGCTGCACCTTATCGTCCACCTGCTGCTGATGAACATATTTACACGACGACTCATGTCTGGTGTTTCTACTGTTTTTTTGCTGTTTTCAACTCCTCCTTTTTAGAGAAACACCCATTGTAACTAGGGACAATCTTATGACAATAAAAAGAGGAGACGCAGAGACATCAGAGCGAGTCAAGACTGTAACAGTAAATGCACTCTCTGTCCCTCCTCATGAGAAAACGATGTTAATCTCTTGTCTTTCTTCTTATTTTTACAGTGTTTAGGTGGTGTTAAACCTGACAGTTTTGTATTTAAATCAAACGTTTAAGATCAGGAAGAGCAGAGTTTAAAACACACGTCACAAACACATCAAAAATAAAAGACTTGAGGATTTTTATTTTATTGTGTTTGAAAATGACGTGAACTTTTGGAACTGTTGGAGTTTATAAAATCTCCAGGTTTATCCACGGCGACGTTCTGCTTCTGTCAAACTCCTTCATGATTCAAAGTCGTGGGACAAAACTTTACATTTGTGTTTCTACATCTGCAGCAGGTTTTATCTGTTTTTCACGTTCTTCTTTTGCAGAGCAGAAGTTACAGTTCTTCTCTTCTGTGTCCTGGAGTTTGTTTCTGCTGTGACTCGTGTCAGAGTCACGTTCAAAACTCGTCAAAACTCGTGTCTCAGAACAATGAACTCTTGAACTTTGTCCCCACTGTCCCATAAAAATCCACACACACACAGTCTGTGCCGCTTCAATGTTTCACAGTTTCAAGATTCCTACATCTTCCACTTCGCTTCATTTGACCCACACGGAATAATCTAAAATCGAATCTAAATCTAAAATCGAATCTAAATCTAAAGTCGAATCTAAATCTAAAATCGAATCTAAATCTAAAGTCGAATCTAAATCTAAAATCGAATCTAAATCTAAAGTTGAATCTAAATCTAAAGTTGAATCTAAATCTAAAGTCGAATCTAAATCTAAAATCGAATCTAAATCTAAAATCGAATCTAAATCTAAAGTTGAATCTAAATCTAAAGTCGAATCTAAATCTAAAGTCGAATCTAAATCTAAAATCGAATCTAAATCTAAAATCCGTCTCAGGAGATTTGGGTCAAAATTGACCCGACTCAGCCTCAGTGTCCAAACTTTTGTAGCACCTGAACAAAAGTCAAACATTTTAAAATATTTAAATTTTTGTGTAGTTTGTCAAAGTTTAGGAAAAGTCATAAAGTTTGAGGATAAAAGAAAAACGCTTTGTGTTTTTTTCTACTGTTGAACGTCAGAATGAGTCAGATTTAACGTGACCAATGTGAGGGTTAAAAAAAACGACGAGCAGTTTCCCTCAAACACTTGAGCAGTTTTTAGATTCAGAGACAAATATTTACTTGACATTCCAGTTTGTTTATTTCAAACCTCCAGCCCCTGGACCGGCCCCTGGACCGGCCCCTGGACCGGCCCCTGGACCGGCCCCTGGACCGGCCCCTGGACGCTGGAGGTTGAGTTCCGTCTCTGTGTTTGTGACTCTGGAGCTTCACATTAAACACAGTTGACCTTTGACCTTGGTCTAGTCTAATCAGGAGACGTGTGTAAGTGGAAGTGTGTAAAGTCCCTCCACCGCACGGGGCATTAAAGCTCTACTCTGTCACTTTCCTGGAGGCTGTGTTTGGCTTGGAGGATTTTTTTAAAATTACAGTTGGACGTTTTCTCGCCGTCACAGACTCGAGCAGAAACCACCTGGTCTGAGGGTGAAACTGAAACTGAAACTGAAACTGTGGCTCTAGTTTGTTTTGAAAAGGTGAGAAACACATAAAAAATAAATAATATACATTTATATGTGTGTGTGTTGTGTGTGTGTGTGTGTTGTGTGTGTGTGTGTTGTGTGTGTGTGTTGTGTGTGTTGTGTGTGTGTGTGTGTGTGTGTGTGTGTGTGTGTGTGTGTGTGTGTGTGTGTGTGTGTGTTGTGTGTTTTACTTTGTTTCGTGTGTCTTTTATTTTGAAAAGGCGCCGCTTCACTCAGAGGAGCGGAGCCGGGGGAGGGCATCCGGGGCAGAGCGGCTCCTCTGGACCCTGTGACCGGAGACCGAGACCTGAGACCGGGACCGGGACCAGGACCAGGACCGGCGCCTGTGACCGGAGGTAGGAGCGACGCCGCGGGCTCCGTGCCCCGGGTCACGGCGGTGATCTGACGCCGCGTTCGTGCGTCTGTCTCCGGTGTAGCGTTTTCAAACTGCCCCCTTCAAAAACTAACCCCGGTCATTTGAAACCGGTTACGGTTCGGGTTAAGGGCAAAGCTCCGTGTCCCGTGACGGAGCACAGCGCGGGGCTTTGTTTTTCCCGTTACGCACCGGGGCCGGGGCCGCGCGCACCGGGGCGACAGTCCGAGCACAAGACCCGAGAACCGGATTATGAAGATTAAAGGTTTTATTACGCAAAAAAAAAAAAGAGATTTTTTGTTCTTTTGTTCTTTTGTTCTTTTGATCTTTTCACACTCGGAGTTGGACTTGTGTTTATTTCTTCATTCTGAGTCTGTTCCACCTTGTGATGTCATCAAGTGGTCGTTTCCTTTTCCCTTTAGTTCAGTCGAGATCAAAACTCCAGGACTGAAAAAACAATGATCCATGTGATTCTAGTGAAGGTGAAGTGTGGAGTTTAAAAACACAGTGGAGCACTTCCTGTACGACCACACGATGACATCACCAGGTGGAACAGAGTGTTTTCTGTTTGAGTTTGTGTTAAACGTGAACAAAACAAATTAACTCGAACTTGAGCTGTTTTTCCAAGACTAAACCAGAACTAAACCAGGTCTAAACCAGGCCTAAACCAGGTCTAAACCAGAACTAAACCGGGACTAAACCAGGTCTAAACCAGGACTAAACCGGGACTAAACCAGGTCTAAACCAGGACTAAACCGGGACTAAACCAGGTCTAAACCAGGACTAAACCGGGACTAAACCAGGTCTAAACCAGGACTAAAACTAAACGGGACTAAACCGGACCAGGTCTAAACCAGGACTAAAACCAGGTCTAAACCGGGACTAAACCAGGTCTAAACCAGGACTAAACCGGGACTAAACCAGGTCTAAACCGGGACTAAACCGGGACTAAACCAGGTCTAAACCGGGACTAAACCACCGGACTAAACGTCTAAACCAGGACTAAACCGGGACTAAACCAGGTCTAAACCAGGACTAAACCGGGACTAAACCAGGTCTAAACCAGGACTAAACCGGGACTAAACCAGGACTAAACCGGGACTAAACCAGGTCTAAACCAGGACTAAACCGGGACTAAACCAGGTCTAAACCGGGACTAAACCGGGACTAAACCAGGTCTAAACCGGGACTAAACCGGACTAAACCAGTCTAAACCGGGACTAAACCAGGTCTAAACCAGGACTAAACCGGGACTAAACCAGGTCTAAACCAGGACTAAACCGGGACTAAACCAGGTCTAAACCGGGACTAAACCGGGACTAAACCAGGTCTAAACCGGGACTAAACCAGGTCTAAACCAGGACTAAACCGGGACTAAACCAGGTCTAAACCAGGACTAAACCGGACTAAACCAGGTCTAAACCAGGACTAAACCAGGTCTAAACCAGGACTAAACCGGGACTAAACCAGGTCTAAAACCGGGACTAAACCAGGTCTAAATCAGGACTAAAACGGGACTAAACCAGGTCTAAAACCAGGACTAAACCAGGTCTAAACCAGGACTAAACCGGGACTAAACCAGGTCTAAAACCAGGTCTAAACCAGGACTAAACCAGGACTAAACCGGGACTAAACCAGGTCTAGATCAGGGACACAGATATAGAGACACAGGGGCTGAAATGGAGTCGACTCCGACTCTTCACACTGTCTCGTGTTTTTTTTGAGGGACGTTTGGTTTTTTTTGTTGTTTTTTTTATTATTATTACACACAACTGGGTGCATAAACTTGATATGACAAACATGGCTGTGTGTCGTCAGCAGTTACATGTTGGGATGAGGGAACATAAACATAACATATTGTATAGAAACAATACAATATAATACAAAAAAAGTGCATTTAAGAATAGAAAAGATAATAGCAAAGAGAAGTAGAGTCCATAAAGTCCAGGGGTATTTCACACATGTACGAGACACTTTTTGAGGTTTAGGACCATTCATATGTTTTTGAGAGACGTTTGTTCTGCAGGAAGATTTAAACTCTAAACTTTGTTTTCTCACGTTTAAACTCTAAACTTTTCCCGTCGTTCATGTTTTCGTTGTCGATCGTCTCTGTTCTGTTTTAAATTTCTAAACTTAAAGTGTCAGAGTGGAGGTTTTTTGGAGGTTTTGTGGAGGTTTTTTTGAGGTTTTGTGGAGGTTTTTCAGTGTTACGAGTCGTATCTGTGGAGCTGCGTTCATGAAGCTCGTCTCCGTTTCACTTTTGCTCGTCGCTTGTCGCGTCTTTTCCTTCTTCACTTGTTCTTGTTTCTTGTTTCTTTCTCGATGTGGTGAAGTGTGTTTTCGTCGTCAATCTAGAGATTTTACACAAAGGATTTTCAAAGAACAGGAAGTTTATTTTGACGGCACGAGTTTATTTCCTGTTTCCCCTGATGAAAGTCTGGAGACGCTCTGACGCTGAAAAAATGTTGAACTCCAACCTCATTTGAGCGACGAGTCGAGTCATGACGACCTGTGACGCTCGAGTGACTCTGACGGAGTAAAATGTCTTAAAATGGAAAGACAAAGCTGCTGGTTTTGTGCTGCTGCTTTTACACTGTGACTCTGCTGTGAACTGGAGCTTGTACCTGTTCTGATCCGGGTCCAGATCGTTCTAAACACACCTAAAGGTTCTAAAGGTTCTAAAGGTTCTAAACACACCTAAAGGTTCTAAAGGTTCTAAAGGTTCTAAACACACCTAAAGGTTCTAAAGGTTCTAAAGGTTCTAAACACACCTAAAGGTTCTAAAGGTTCTAAAGGTTCTGCTCTGTCCTGTCAGTGGGACTTTTTGAATGCACTGGTGTAATAATAACACTGGTGCGTTGGACTTTCTGAAATGATTTAATGAGTTTCTAATTTGAGATGAACTTTACAGTTTAGTCCAGAAAAAACTGAAACGACATTTATTTTCCTTTCCTCATGTTTCGTTTCCTCTGTGTCCCTGTGTCCCTGTGTGATCCTGACAACCCGATGATCCCGATGATCCTGATGATCCTGATGTTCCTGATGATCCTGATGATGTTCCTGATGATGTTCCTGATGTTTCTGATGTTCTGATGTTCTGATGATGTTCCTGATGTTCTTGATGTTCCTGATGTTCCTGATGATGTTCTGATGTTTCTGATGATGTTTCTGATGATGTTCCTGATGTTCCTGATGATGTTCCTGATGTTCCTTGATGTTCTGATGATGTTTGATGATGATTTCTTGATGTTCTTGATGATGTTCCTGATGATGTTCCTGATGATGAT